AGGATTTAAAAATTGTCAAAGTTGAAATTTATAATAAAAACATAGTAAGTGGACTCAAACTTTTGGAAGTAACTGTATATAATAATTGTTAAAAAATTTTTAAAACATAAAATATAAAAAGATAATTAAATATAAATAAATATAAAAAGATAATTAAATATAAATAAATATAAAAAATCAATAAAAATAATAAGATATAAAAATTTTCAAGTTCAACTAATTAAAAAATCAATACTATAATAATAAAAAAATTAATAATTAAAAAAAAAATTAAAAAATAAGAACTTGATTTTAATTTTTATTAAAATTTGCAAAAATAATTTGTTTTTTTTTTGGAATGGAAGTTCAATTATATTTATTGATTTTAATAAAGTAATATGCAAATTAATATAGAAATTACAAAGGTTCTCACATGGAGTTATATATTATTTATGTCATTAAACTTTCTAAAACCTGATCTTTAACAAATCTACTATGTTGCTTGTTATCTAGAAATATCCAATTGGATTAAATCTCTATCACTACTACTATTTAGAAAAAACTAGATACACCTTATTGGATTTTCAATTCTTTCAGATCCTTCCCAACTAACAAGTTATGGTGGACTTGCTAGTTTCTTGAAAGAAAAAGTACACATTTCTTATAATTCTAATAATTATGACCTGTTATCAATACCAAATATGTTTAGATAAAGAATATAAGTTCAGTAGTATTTTGTATTATGCAAGGGTAAAAAAACCATTTGGATTAAAATGGAAAAATAATTGTATCCTTGTAAGTAGAATAAGTTCTTGAAGTTTCATTTCAATAGAAGAGGTATTCATTTTATAGCCATAATATTTTTAGAATGTAATAGAAGAGAGAAGACTATAGTTTATATGATGTTTATTTACTTGTATACCTAGTATATAACTTATAATGGATCTAAGATTTTTATTGAGCTTAAGAAATATATTCACGTCACGTATCATGTATATTCTTGTTTATATTTCTGCTAACTATGAAGCAACCAATCCCAATTTTAAGCCAATTAATTCATTCAAAATCTGATGTAACAAAAAATTCAGGATTAAGCTAGGATAGGTAAAATCCCTTAGAAAAATCGAGAAAAAACTACTACAAACTAAGAGAGAAGTTATTTTTGCCTATAGTAGTGATATTAATTTCTCAGGTTGATATGAAGTTATTGATCCATATTTCTTCCTAAACTTTGGAACCTCCATAAGGAAGAGAATAAGAATATTTTTTTGTTTGGTTTCTTCTTTTTAGAAAAGTTTTTTTGTCATTAATTTCTTAGATAGAGGGTTTTTGAAGAGGAAAAGTAAACAAGAAGAATAGAATATGACTGTTGCTAAATGAAATAGATATTTTTAAAAAAAGTTTTGAAGTTTTATTACTCTTAAAATATAAAGTTTTGACAGAACACTTCTTTGGAAGTGATGATCAGGAATTTACGGGAAAGAGTTTTCCTACAAAAATAATTTATAATAGTAATCTGTAGATAATAATATTAGAAATTGAAAGGATTTTTATCTAAACTATTAATAATATAATAAATTATTTTTAAAGTAATACTTAAAATAACTATAATTAAAGTAAAGCTTTAATATCACATTTTTTATATTAAGTTTATAAATATTTAATAAAACATATATACTAACTAAATAAAGGATTAAATAAAATAAAATACAAATAATAATATTATTGTTTTTAAAATAATTTATAATTATTTAATAAATTAATGAAATATTGATTTAACAATATATTGAAATTAAATTCTTATTTAATATGCTAAAATAAAATACCTATATTATATTAACTTATTAATAAACAAAAAAATAAAAATAAAAATAAAATAAAATATTAAATTATATAAAGAAATAACTAAAATATGTTAGAAACAATTGTGATTTTATAATAGAATTTTCATAAATTATAAATAAAAGTTGACTTTTTATGATTATTAAATTCAAAAAGACTTTATTATAATGCATCGCAAGTTAAATTTTAGCACGTCAAATATCAAGAATAAAATTATCGAAAATCAATAAGAATACGATTTCAAATATTCTATATGATCTTTGTCATCAAAACTTTTTATGAAAGACAAAGTGTACCATAATCTCATAACAATATTAATGGTACAAAGTCCACTACTTTTCATCAAAAGGATTCTCACTCATAAAACTAATCACTCCGTAACAAAGATAATATTTTACATTCATGTTCGAATCCGATTGATTATGATTACTAAAGAACAAAGCAAAAAGTAATTTACTTAAGGGACAAATCAAAGGAACTATAAATATTAATTAATAATTACCACTTTTTGTTCATCCAGACCATCCTTAAACATTGTGAAGTAAGGTGTAATTCCGTCTTCACGATAGTTCAACAGAGCAACCATACCATCTTGATTAAAACTCTCACCAATGAAAAATTGATAGTCTATAAGTAATAAATAACGACTTGATTAAATTTTATATGAATAAAAATAAATAAATAAATAAATAAATCAAACGTGCCTTTGAGTTTATCAAGGATCTTCTTTGCAAAGGCATTGATCTTGGTTTGCCATTCCTTAATGTCGATATCAGGATTTTTTTCTTGGACATGAGTTGCAAGTTTCTTCATGTAACTCTTGAGGTAAGTTTGGAAGGCTTTCTTATCAAAAGTAGTCTCCTGAAGACGGAATGCGTAAACCACATTATTAACTTTTTCCGATCCATCCTCAAGGGCTTCTTCTTCCTCCTCACCCCCAGGATTCGCACCAATATCGACATCGGCAGCACCCTTTTTAACTGTAATTATCTGAATGATTTAAAAGTTTGATCGTTAACATCAAACTTGAAAAAAATGAATTAAAACATATAAATTAGTTGATACCTGACAGTCGATTTCGAAAGCTACATCGTCAACAACTTTAATGCCATATGCATCAGAAACAAATTCGTCACCTCATAGAATAAACAAGACACTTAATGATGTACATTTAATGAGGTAATACATAATTAGCGAAAAAATAATTCCATTTATCTTACCAGAAATAAAGTCGCGGTAGATAATCATTTAGATGAATGAAAAAGTAGCAATAATACTTGCGAGTCAAAAAAAAAGCAAAGCTTATAAACTAACAGATGTGCTCAACAGCTGATTATCTATGTACGTAATTCACCGAATTATATACGCCACATTTTTGCCAAGGGAAAATGCACACTATTCCATGTGATTTAATATATATCACATCTAATAATATGCAATCAGGCCACAGAAGCAAATTATAGGAAATTTCACAATTCGTAATCAATACATCATTTTTTTTTTAGTTTACAAATTAGACCATACAATAAATTATTAGAAATTTTGAAATATTCTATTAAATTAATTCAAAATTAATAAAATAAAGTCTCAACTAAGTATTTTAAATCAGATTTAAGAAACAATATTTTATTCCTTTAATAAATTAATACTAGGATCACACTATATATTAAAATTATTACTAATAATTTATTACTGTATATTTCAAAAAATAATGAATTGCTAAATTAATATAAAATAAATAAATAAATAAAAAGAAAAACAATTCAAAGTTCTATCAAAAGATTTTTATTCAAGTATATAATTATCCTTCAAAAAAGATTTACCCGATTAGAATTTTTTTTAATTTTAAATTATCTAAAAAACTTATTTATTGATTATTGAAACTATATATAATTTGAAAAATTTAATATAGTAATATTAATAATATTTAACTTTATTTGATTAAAATAAAAACTTGAAAATCTTAGTTTTTTTTTTTTGAAAAAGTTTTTTATTATTAAAAAAAAACTTGTTAAGAGATAAAAATACTATATTATATATTTTTTAATATATAATTGTTTCTTTAAAAATTTATTAAATTAAAAAAAATATTTTATAAATTTTTTATTTCTATAATAAATTATATTTTTTGATATACTGTAAATAATTGTAATTAATAAAAGTTTGTTATATTTAAAAAATAACAAATTTTATATTAATTAATTGTTTTTATAAGAATTATACTATCCAAAAATTGACCTATAAATCTATAGTACAATGATTAGTATTTTATAGATCAGATCACAAGATGCAGGTTCAAATCCTTCAAAAGATTAATGTGATTTCCCTGACCATAAAAACAGATAGAATCTAACAAATTATCTATTGATCTAACTAATCAAAATAATTGGCAGTTTTTTATTAATTCTTGTCAAAAATCAAGATTTTCATAACACAGAACAGTCTATACAAAAATTGTGATTAGGTTATTATTCGAAATTGAGTAGGATTATCTTTGATAGGACCATATTACCACATGTTGATAACAAGAAGAGTAGATCTCTAAACCAGTTATATACTATTGAGGAAGAACTAACCAAAAATCTTATTCAATTTTAAGATTTCAAGTATATAGCTATGCCTTGACTCATAGACTTAACAATCAGGAACCTTAGTATGAAGAGAAATCTGTTGATCATTCTGAAGAATCAAAACTCAGATCCAGGATAAAGAAAATTTGATAGCCTGATAACCAGACTACTTTTAATAAAAATGATCTAGGAAAAATTAAAAAGAAATTGCACAATTTTTTAATAAGGTAGTGCTTATATATAATTAGTAAATATATAGAAGTTACATATATATATAGATTACTAATATAAGCAGATATATATGTATTTATTAGTATATATATTGTTTATCTATATACAAAGAATAATGTAAGTAATTGAACTAAGGCAGTTGCCTTATATGAATGTATAGGTATATCACTAATAAAGATCCTGATAATGATTTTATGAATCAATGACTCACAAATATCATAAACAACTTCTTTATCTTCAAAATTTATTTTAGTACTAACTTAGTCTTGGCAGGTTAGCCCTTACACAAGGAATGGCAACAAATCACAAGGTGAGTATTCTAGAAAAGAAAAATATCTATTAAGTTTTGTTTGGTAGAAAACAGGTAATATATTCTAAGATAGCCTCTTTATATAATATCACTGCACACATACAAATAGAATAAGATCAAGTTAGCATTTAAAAAAAAAAAAATACTATTCAAAAATTTAAAATTAAATTTAAATAAATAAAATTTTTTAAAAAACTATAAAAATTAAAACTTTAAAAGAATTAAAATAATTGTTAAAAGAAAAAATAAGTCATTTACTATAAAAAACCTTTATAAACAACTTATTTCAAAGATAAAAAGATCCTCTGATGCTTTATAGCTAATTCTTTTTTTTAAAAAAATTTCTTAATAATAATAATATTTGAATTTTTTGATTACTAAAAGTCAAGTTTTTGATTAATAAAATTTATAAACAAGAAATAAAAGATAAAAGTAATTTTTGAAAATATTTTTTAAATTATTTTAAAGAAAATATTAAAATCTTATTAATTAAAAATCAAAAAACCTTTAAATAAATATTTTTCTATATATAATTAAAAAATTGTTTTAAATATGTTATTGAAAGATTTTAAAATTTGTTTTTATTATAATTTTATATATAATATAATTGTTTTTAAAAATATAGATTAATATAAATTATTATTTCTAAAATTATTTTTATAATTTTTACTATTTTTTATCAATCTTTTAATTATATATTTACTTAAAAATTTTGTAATTTTTTAATTAATAAATTATAATATATATATATATATATTTAATTTATCGTTAAGACCTGTGGGTCCATAGCGCAGTGGTAGTGCTCCTAGGTCACTAAGTACTGTTTCTGAGTTCAATACCACTGCGAGGCAGTACCACCTAAAGCCTAGGTGATACAGGAAGATCCCATTCAACTTATGATGATGATCACTGCCACTTAAGGCCAAGATCCCGACTGATCACGGGAAAAACCAAAGATTACAAGATGCTTCGGCCGATTTTAGCGCTGAAGTCACCTCGTCATATATGGCAGGTTCCATAAAAGCTTCTGCAGATAGGTTGAAGATCTGCTGCCGTAAAATCAGGGATTAACGGAGCTCTGGCACGTTAGCTAGAGGAGGGTCTCTACCAAATTGAGATCTGTCCAAGACTCTACATGATCTCCCCATAGGCAGGCCATAATAGGTCATGTAAAAAGGGTTTTCGGTAGGACGAGACAATGTCTAAGACTTCACGCAGGTACTACATAGGCATGCTGTAATAGGTATTGTAAAAAGAATACTAAGCGGGACAAGATATGAAAGGGGTCCTGTATCCTAACCCAAAGGCAAAAGCCGGGAAGGGGTACAGATATAGGAAGGTGGGTAGTAGGGCTTCCTTCAGCAACAAGCCACGTAGGTGTTGACGGTGGCTGTAATGGCTACTGGTCGCAAAAATGGGTTTCATTACTTAATTAGTAAGGTTATAAGAAAAATGCTGACGTAAGCTGGATATAGTTCAGAGTATAGCACTATGAAAAGTGTATTCACAGTTACGCGGTAGTTTTACTGTAATAAAACAGGCTTCGTTTATCCTTAATAAAAAAAAAAAAAAATCTATTGTCAAGCTAACATGGCTTATCTTTATTGTGTATTTTAAAATTCTTATACAATTTAAAAGATTTTTACATAACAGCTCACTTATCTTAGAAGTTTAACTTTTCTAGATACAACTTAGAAGATGATATTTTGCTTTCATAATAACTTGAATTATCCTTTAGCTATCAAGTTTATTACTTATAGATTATTATTGTAAATCATCCAAAATTCTAAATAACAGATCAAATATCTAATCACTTCCTTTCCTTCACTATCTATTTTTCAATAATATTCTCAAGATTTATACCTTTGAATTGTTCTTTATGTAATATCTTATCTGATATAGAACTATTATCTTTTTCTGAATTTTTTGTGTTTTTAAAATTGTTCTTTAGAACTCTATGTCATTTAGATTTCTTATCAATATCCAAAGTCTTTTCCTATTCAATTACCATTTTGCACATTCATTTCAAATCTTTTTCTTAAAATTTTTTTACATTTATTGGCACAATCTTTCTATAGCTTTCTTTGTGATAAGTGGCTTTATCTTATAATATAGTTGAGAAAGTCTTTAATGTCTTTTATTTTATTTTTATATATGTATCCACATATTATTTTAGAAAGGCTCTGTTTTCTATTGCTGTATCTCATTAAGCCATATATTAACTACTTAATATATAACTTCTTGATCTTCATCTATAATCTTTACTTGATCAATAATATATTAAACCAATTTCCTATTTGTTTCTTTTCAGATGTCTAGTTTTTTAAAGTATGTTGTTGAATATAAAAACAAGTGATCAGTTGTTTCTTAATAAGTCCTATATCTAATACAAGAAATTGATTTATAAATTTCTGGTTTTTGCTTATTGAGTATTTGTAATGTAAGAAGTTCATCATGAGTGAGATTCATCAAAAAGTTTTTGTCCTTGTTATCCTTGAAGGATATATATAATATATAATATATATTAAACTGGTTTCAAAAGACTGTTTAGTTTATCTTGTTTTTCTCTTTACTCTATCTATTTTAAATACATTTTTGATTACTCCAGTCAAGACTTATCTTTTTTTGATTCTATCCTTTAATAAACTCCCAGATATTAATATTAATGATCAGTCCTTTCCATGTAGTTATAAATAAGATTGCAGATATTTTTGGTAAGTGTTGCCATTCTATTGGATTTTTTTTTTAGTTAATTTATTAGTGTATCTGTCATATTGTTAAAATAATCTTTTTTATATATATGGATTTTTTTCAATATTAAGATAAGGGTTTTTTTCTTAACTAGATTTCTTATCCTTGTTCAAGGTGACTAGTTAGTTATTTTGATCTATTTTTTAAATAATATAAGTGATTGTTTTTTTTTTTTTTTAACCCGCTGTCAGGCTAGTTATGTGCGCTTTATTAAACAAAAGTAAACTATACATACAT